TCTCACAAAATGGAAATAACAACTGACATTTTGTACTCCAGAGAAATTGCACAGAATTAAATGAGAAAGCAATATATTCATTTTTATGCCATGCATGTGAATCTTCTTTGACATGTAAAGCACAAACAATATCCTGACTAAACACTTAAGTACTGATGAGACTCTCAGTAAATCTCAGGCTTCAGGATTTCCCTATATCAATTTCATTTTCTCACTCTTTTCCTCTAAATGTTTCAATACCKCTCATTAGAATTATTTTCTAATTTGCCTTGCCCGTTTGCCAGGAGCTCAGGGAATGTTTCTTTGAAGCTGCTACTGTGAATACTGAAGAAGCTGAAAATGTGACCTGGCAAATGAATATAGGAAAAATCCATGAGCTGTTAACTACAAAGAAGGCACCTCCAGCTCAAGAAATCTCTGATCTGAAAATCCATGGGGCCAGGGAGGCTATTTTGGAGAGTACCATTACATGCTCGTATCATTGCCTACCTATTTCCTTATCCTTTAGCCTAATCATCGTTGGCAGCCATCAGACCAGATTCCAGGACTAGATAGTTGCTCCAGCACAGTTCAGTCACTTTCTTTGTTATGTTTTTAATTGCAGCATTACTGCTTAAGCACATTTCATTTTATATAACTTCTCTTTGAAGACAGCTACTTTTCTGCTGCACTTAACACTTAGTTATGCTGCCAAGTTGATTCAAATTCAGGACTATTCAGGTGTAACCTGAATGGGATTTTATATTTCAAAGTGTTCACAAATGAATTACTTGGCCACATATTCATATAAGTCTTCAACAGCAAAAAGTTTCCTTGAGTTTCTACATGACAGGAAAAAAATAAACAGTAAGAGTGAAAACTAAATGCTAGTATGAAAGAGAGAAACTGTAGTCCTGATTTTATGCATTTATATTCACAACTTTCCAGGCCTTACAGTTCTGTGTTAAGCTACGTGTCATGTATTTGGGAGATAGCTTGTTTAAACTGATAAAAGCAATGCTGATAAAGAAGGGCTTCTGACAAACCTGTTTTTCTTCACACCTGGAATTATATAGGATGCTTAACTGCAGTGACCTTAAAACCTACAAACCTTCTAACAGCTTGTAAAGTGATGAGCTGTGAAAGAGCAGGATTGCAATGTCAGAACTGTAAAGCTTTCTGTAATCTCTTCTTAAAGGTGCTGAGCACTCTCAGTTAGTCACAGCTGGTTTTTTTTTAAAGCAGTAAAATTTGATGAAAAACAGGATGCAGCAGAAGCATCGTGGATATTATTATGAGTCTGCTTAGTTTGGAAGAGAAGGGAGGACATAAAAAGGTTATTTCCAGAGTGCTCTCTGTATAAGAGAGAAGAAAGATGAAAGGAAAGGTAATAAAGGAGAAGGAAAAGTAGGGGGGAAAAAGTGCCAGAACTACATAGATTAAAAAAAAAAAATCATTAAGCAAAAAAATTAGTTTTCATGGCAAAAGTAGAAAGGAGGTATAAAAATATAAGCCAAGTGCTTATATTTTATTTAAAAAAAAATTAGTTTTAAGTACTTATATTTTTCAAGCTGTTTTACTGCACAGTTATGTCATTCAATTTGTGCATCCTGGTCTTCCATGTCAGACACAGTGATTCCTTTATTTGGCTTGCTGCTTGATGTGCTTTTTTTTCTCAGTGCAGCTCTCAGAAAATGTAGAGCTTTTATGTTTTATAGTACATGATGATCAGTAACTCATCACACTGACTTTTCATTTTGATTAGTTATTTAGGTGATTGAATTTTATTTTTAGTGAAGTAGTTAACCTTTAAAAGTAATGGCTGAATGAGTTGGAATCACTGTCTCCCTTTTCTGGCACTGTGTCTGTCAGATTAACAAGAGATTTGGTTTTTCAAGGAATCATAGACCATAATGTCTTTCTTTTTATTTATATTTATCCTGTCCAAAGAATATATAATCTGAGGGATGAGGGATCCCTTAGATGATAATGAGATGATCCCTCATTTGATAATGGGGGATCAAATGAGTAATGCTACTGTACAGACAAGATAAGAATGGTATCCAGGGAACTTTCTGTCTCAGTACAGCGGAACACCAATTTGGCACTTGTAGAAAAGAGGAGTGAATACTGTCTGGACAGGAATTAAGGGCATCTGCACAATACTAGCTGTAAATCAATTGTTTCATATATTATTGCTGAAGATTTTTACTTCAGAATATTAAAAAATGTCATCCTCCTTTTCAWAGTATCTTACTAATTTCCGGCCTTGTCTTTACAAAGTATTACAACATTCATAGTCTGCAGAAAACAAAAAGTATTTCATTAGTAAGTTTTAGTAGGTTTAGTATATTTTTGTTACTGTAAATAGATGAGTATTAGAAGTGTTGTTTGGAACCATTCAACCTGTTTCTTGGAACAGGGTAATCATGAACACTGGATCAGATCAGTGTCTTTGAAGGAGACTACCATTTCTTTGAGTAACCTCTTCACATGCAACACTGCTCCACTAATGAAGAAAATTGTCCTAATGGACAATTTGAACCTTCTGAGAGACAGATTTTTTACTACCTTTGAGCTGAGAGGTCTGTCTGATTTTCAGTCCACTTACAATTTGTTCATTCAGCCCATACTTCCTTGTGTTATTATGTATGATATGTTAGAAAATAGTGTCAAAAAGTCATTAAAGTCAAAATATATTACAGCCACTCTTCTCGCTTCATCTGCATGGCCAATTGTTTCATTATAGAAGACAATGAGATTGGTCAGCATGACTTGCTCTTTGTAAATCCATGCAGACTATTCTTGATCTCTTTACATAAGGTCTCTACCTAATTGGAAATGAATTCCAAGAGGAGACGCTCCACAATTTTTCCAAGAACTAAGGTGAAGCCAGCCATCATATAGTTTCATAAAATTAGCCATCAAGAAACTGTTGTAATTGCAATGATTTTTATAGATAATAGGCAGAGGTCTTGCAATCACATCAGCAGCTCTTCATCCATAGTTATATCTCATCTGACTCCATGTATCTAATTACATCCAGCATCTTAATGTGTTCACTTATTCATTGTGAATATTCTTAGCCGTCCCTTTGCTTTCTGTGTTGTACATGCAGAAGTCTGGGAGCAGATTTTGCTGAAGACTTAGGCAGAAAAGGTATAGGATTTTGCAGCCTTTTCCATATCATGTTACTGCGTTATCTGCTCTTATCAGCAGTAGACCTACATTTGCTTTGAGCCCCCTTTTGCTACACTCATAGATGTACATTTCTGTCTTGTAACCCTTTATGTCCCTCATTAATCTTCTCTCCCAATGGGCTTTAACCTTCCCAGTTTTGTTTGCCCAAGCAATGCCTGGCAGGTATACACTCATCCTTTATAATCTGTTGTCATTCGCACACGCATACTCCCTTTTCCCATGTTAGTTCATTAAGAAGCTACTTGTTCTGCCAAATGCAACTTTTAAATAATTTCTCCCTATGTGCTATTTCCTCATGTATCTCTGGGTTTAGACCCGTGTTATATGACAGAGAGAGTTTAAACATGTCCCCACTGAACCAGCAAGTCTGTCCTCAAAGTCTTTGATAACAAAGCCTCTTTTTGTAAGATGTGCCTATTCTCTTTCTAAATTGTCCTTCCATATCAGATGAGGTGGTGCACATCATTAAAATAGTCAAAGCCCAGCTGATGACACCAGATATGTAGTCAGGATTGCTCTATTCAATGCATCTGCTGCTATCCCATCTTTTGCCTTTGACCACAGTTAAGCGGTCAAAAAGATCCACTAGTTGGATTCCCAGTCCCTCCACCCTTGCCCAACAACCATGCAGTCACTTTTGGGCTGAATTGGATTTGCCTCATCACGTCATTACYACCCAGATCAATAGGCAGAAAGTAGAAGTCACTATGTGAGGTGAGTCCAAGCATTCTTTTTGGAACTCCACTAATTGAGGCTCCAGACAAGCAACATCCTCCCTGGAGGATGGGTCTGGCTGCCAGAGGAGTGTTGCTRTCCCATACCCAAAGGGAATCAGCAAGCACTCGCTGTCACTTAGCACTTTTTCTTGATAGCACTCTGATGTGTTGTCCAACCTGGATTCTTCCTCCAAGGGAGCTTGTTCCTTGTTGGCCTGAGCAATTTGGCTTCCTTCATACTTCCAGAAGTCACAAGCTTCCAGTTTCCACCCTCTTAGTAGTGCGTGTCTTCTTCCTGCTCTGTCTTGCCTCAACTGCACCGTCCTTTACAGCTTTGTGCAGCGTAAGGCTTTTTGTCTGAAAAGTATTTTCAAAGGTGATCTCAATCTCTTGTTTGCCATCGCAAATCAACAAAACTTATACAGCTCTTGTAGCTCCTCAACTGCTGCCACATCAACTCCATGGGTAACACCTCCTGCAGGGGCAACATCTGCAAAGATGCACAGATACCACAGTACCGTGGATGACTGTCCCAGCTGTGGCTGGAGTTATGTCCTGCAGCACATCCTTACTCTTATGCAAACAGCATGTCTGGACCCCTCATGTGCCAAAAGCCAAGTTACCCATCTTGCTTATTTACACATCCAGCTGGCAGCACTCCTGCTCGTTGATGCTCAAGGGTGCCAGATAAATGAACCCAATTTACTTGTGCTTTTACAAGATATCCCACTTGKCAGGAAACCTCTCATACTCTTTGTGAATTACACTCTTTTGGTGAATGTCAGGTCTCCTTCCCATGATAGATTCCCAAGGACCTAAAAGGTCCGTGGAGATAGTCTACTTAGTCTAAGTCAGACTTGCATGATGAAGAGACACTTTTGTATAGCTAAAAAGGTTAGCCCTTGAGCAGATACAGCTGACCACAAATGTTTTAAAATCAATTTACAATTGATCCATGAATAAGAAAAAAATGATGTTTTTTATTTCCAAAGTTTGTTCAAGAACAAAACAGGAAAAAAAAATAAATATAAACATTTCAAGTGCTAGTCTTACAACCTAACTTATAAAAATGATTTTTTAATATTAATAACCTTTTAATTGTAGGAGGAGGAATTGGAGGCTCAGATCTCCTTTCTACAAGGGCAACTAAACGACTTGGAAGCAATGTGCAAATATTGTGCGAAAATGATGAACACACATCTTGGTAAGTGCAGTAGCCTGTATTAACCTGAAAATCTTTGTTAAGGYTCTTTCCATGTTTGTACTAGAGCTAAATATTTATGTTGTGCAGTGCACATTATGTATAGGTCACACAAAAATGTGACTTAATGTGCCCAATGACTGTAATAGGTATTGCAAACTTCTATCTTCTTGCTGTCATACTTTTAAACTCAGAAATCTGCTAGTCACTGATTATGCTAAGAAAAAAGTAGAGGCATTTTAGGATGGCTGGCCTTTGTTTGTACATGGTAAGAGACATGCTAGAGCTCATAGCTAATTTATAAATTCATTTGCCCTTTGTCGGTTCCAGAATGATCCTTGATGTATTCAGCAATAGCTGTATAAAAGGTGTATTTGTAGATGGCAAAATCATAGTCTAAGCAGAATAATTGAAAGTTGAATATTTCAGAGGGTAAAACTTAGTATATGGTACCCACTTCTGCCAGGTCAAAAGATGGAATGTGAAAGTCATGCTATCCTGGAATTTTCATTTTGCTTTATGTGAGTCCCCATATAATTTTAACAGCCTCAGTTATGAGCCTGGCAAAAGCTGTAAATCACGTTATTGGAAAGTTTGAACTCACAGCCTTCAAAAGCCAACTGTAAAAATCTAACCCCAACAACCTTATTCTGGTGTATTATACTGCTTTTTYGAGGATATATAGGAGAACTAATGAGACTAGAGTTAAGTGCAAAGGATGAATTATTAGCTACTGAAATTATGGGGAGGGGAGGGGGGTGGAAGCTCAAAATACGATGCCAAAACAAAAAAAGAGTATATATATTTTTAAGAAAACAAACTGGAAGTGTTCAGTAGGCATAGAGGTTCAAGTACAAATACAAATGTTTCCCCAGCAGACTAGAGATCAGAAGAGAGCCAAAGATAGCAGTCCATTTGTAATGGTCTATTTTCAGGAACGGATGCACATAGGGAAGGCAAAAGATCCTTAATAACCTCAAAGTATGTAGGGCCAGTATCCTCCAAGAGATACATGGAGCCATTTGTTACTTTGGCAAAAAAAATGGGCAGCCTGGGCTGCCAGTGGGCACTGAGCTTGCCTGAGCACGTGGCAGCCCTCCTAGGACCTCCCAGCTGTGTTTTCTTCTAGTCTGGCTCCCTGTACTTCTTGACAACATCCTTGGACATCTTCCCAGCATCATGGCTATTCATTTTGTAAGTTCGGGTTAGACTAATGCGTTTAAATCTTATCAAGACTGACAGTTATGTGCTATAAGAGGGCACAGAGAGGCTGAGATACCACCAGCTTTCACAACTCCAACAACTGGAGCAAACCAGTTAGATAGCCTCAAGGCAATTCACAAGGAGGCAGAAAGAAATGCCCCAGGATTCTTGCCAGTCCGACCTCTGCTCAGTTCCTCTGAACCTGGAACCGGTCAGTCCTGGTCCTTTGAGGAGGATCTGCCAGGAGGTGTCCCAGAAAGTGATTCCCTCGAGCGTCACGGAACTGATGCTGGGGACAACCACCAGCCTCCATTCGCTGCTCATGCTTCAGGGAAAGGAACCAAAGAAAACTCACAGCATTTATCTCCATTCATCACTCGGGCAGAAGGCTCGAAAGGGCCTAGTTCTTTGAAAGGGCCTAGTCTTGTTCTTCCCTGGATGTCTCTCACCCTTGGAAATGACTTCGTTTTGGAGACCACAGATCATTGTGAGTCCTCTTGCCCGACATGCAACCCATTGGGACACTTAACCGCAAGGATATTACTTTTCCCTGTCAAGGTGGACTTTGCTGACTTCACCACCAACTTAGTCTTTTGCTGCATCCTTGGCAACAAGGATGAAAATCTTCATACAACTTTTCATTGTGCAGTGATCAAATAACCTCTCAACACTGTCTTTACTAGGTGGAACACTATTTGAGACTAGTTTTGCATGGGTTGCTTTTTAGGCTAGCTCATTTTTGTGATCTTCCCTTGAACTCCTCAGTGTTTCACTTTTTGAAGTGGGTTAATCAGATAGATGTGTTAAATGCTGTGCTGGAAGTGGATCCAGGAAAGTGGTTATTTAGCAAAGGGAAGGTCATCTCTAATTTTATGTGACATTTCTCTTTTTATATATTTTTTAATGCAGCATATACTTCCTTTATATAAAAGTGATAAATTGAGGTGATAATCCACAATGACCTTTAAAATTTTGTGAATCACAGCTTTCTAAACAGAGGATTTTTTTCCTGTAGGTATAATCAGGAAATGTTTCCTTCTATTTCTGTATGTGTTGCTTGCATATAATTATATATGAATTCACTTGTCATTTGACTTTTATCTGTAATTCAGATTATTCAGAATATTCTGCAGTGTGCTCAGTTACCTGCTGCCACTCCAACTGCACGCCTCAGAATCATAGATTTAACATTTGTCTAAATTATTGATAAAATATATGGAGCTCCCCAGAATTAATTCCTCCACCCAAGAGTTAATTAACCTTTTAAAAACTATCAATACATTAGCTTTTGGTCTGAGGTCTGCTTTTTAAGTTTGAGAAAAATTGTTGTTTTTAATACAAATTAATTTTAGATGGACATTTTAATTTTTTTTTCAGACTTGATTATCCAATCAATACACATTTTTCCGCATGAGCTCCATTATATGTTCAGAACACAGTATTATTCTTGCCTGTAAAAAGTGCATATCAAGTGACCATTTGTCACAGGATTATCTAATTGCTACAATAAATTAGATGGCAAGTAATTATAGAATATTCTCTTTGCTATTTCCAGTGAAACAATCTAGATTTTTTCAGGTTCTTTCAATTATAAGGAAGCATCCTTATGACATTCAGGGACAATTACTTCATAGCTGAGCATTAGATGTATCAGATTTGTTCAAATTGTTCAGAACTGATCAAAACAAAGATTAAGTCACCCGTTCCATTTTGAATCCCTAGTAATTTATAGTCTATTTATATTAAATCCAATTAACAGTTATATTTTTACGTGATGTATTTTTAGGAAAAAAACTTTATTTAACTAAAATCTTAGTCAGAATGTTAATCTCTATCATGTAATGATATCATATTTCTTTACCAAAAATATTCTATTACTATAGCTTTGTGCAAATATGTGCTAATACTGCATTTTGTTTTCTTGGAACAAGAGGAAGAACCAGAGAGACAGAACAACAGTTTCTATTTTGTTTATGTATTCAAAAATGGTTTCATTAAATGTTTATCTACTTCCATAGATAAACCACACAGTGTACCACGCAGCAAAGACATAATTAACTGCTTGTAATACCAAGGGATGTTACCATGGAAATGAATGATGGTTCAGGAATATTACTACTTAGYACTATGTGTAGAAATTAAAAATAGGGTTTTGTTCATGAAAATGGAGGAAAGCCATTCTATGATCTTGATCTCCTCCTTAGTGCTGTGCATTAGATGAGCTTCTATTCTCCTGCCCCTCTCCACTCCTATTCCCCCCTTCACCACTGAAGCTTGTTTGCTAAGCGCTAATGCCTTAGGGGCTAATGTTCCAATTTGTGTATGTAGAACAGCAGGCAAAAAGGTAGATTTTAGTTCTGTAACCACCCTTTTATGCAAGCTGGTCATAGCTTTCAATTCTCCCGTCAAGAAATGAAGATTCATCCAATATTGTAAGCCTGTCTTKCATTTTTTTTTCCAGAAAATGAATGCAGATCATTACTTCATCTGATGGTGAAAAATTGGAGTTCCCATAGCTATTACTGCATTATCCCATGATATCATTATCAGCATTATCACAGATACATTTTCTTGATGTTTCTTTTTCACATGCACTGGCCATTTTCAGGAAATAATATGGTACCTTTAGTAATATGATAATGTTCTTCAGTATTTTTCTTTCTGTAAGGTACTTTTCTGTTAGTGCACCTCAAGGCTCAGTGATTCAGAAGGCTTTAATATACTGGTTAAATATTACAATATTATACTCTGTCATAATGTTATTACTTTTTGCGGAATTTTGATTGTTTCTTCCTTTCTTTGACTCTCCGGAAGGAAAAACAACAACCTAGCAAGTGCATTCAAAAGAATATTCGTCCTGGATGAATGTGACCTCTATCTGATGYCTTAGAGCATATCCTGAGTTATTGGTCTGTGTGATATTCACCCAAATGTCACTAAAAAGGTGACAGCAGGAAGGCTCCTGTGTTCTTATTCACATCTGACATGGAACTGAATGCAATGTGTTGGTTCAACGTGAAGGCAGGCTGGAGGATTTCAGAAAGCAAAGCTTTGTTTTAGCTTTAGTAGTTATTGTGTTGTTAGCATATAGTTATTAGCGTAGTTATTGTGTTATTACATGCCACTGGTTATAACACTGCCATCTGACCCCTTCTGCTGCTCTAGTACCATCACAGTTTGGAGTACTAATATGAAAGGTGCTAAASGATGTTTATGAGCTTGCCATGAACAGCTTGCGACACTCTTCCTAATGCAGTCCAGGATAACATTTGCCTTCTTGGCCACAAGGGCTCACTGCTGGCTCATGGTCATCCTGCAGTCCAGGAGAACCCCCAGATCCTTCTCCACAGAGCTGCTCTCCCATGAGTCACCCCCAGCCTGTCCTGGTGCGTGGGGTTTTTCCTCCCCAAGTGCAAAACCCAGCGCTTCCCACGGTAGAACTTCATGAGGTTCCTCTCTGCCTGCTGATTTTTAAAACAGCAGCTGTTTGTAAGAAGCAAATTAGTCCRTCATCAGTGCTGGCTAAGAAACCAACATTTGTTCCCAACAGAGAATTTTGTCTCAGACTTCCCGGTAGTGAAAGATTATCAAAATATCAGACATATAGTATAGGAAGTCTTTTTCATTAGAGGCAATATAAAATAAAACATGGTTTCAATATTAACTTGGATAACTTCATCTTTACATAGAAACTATTCTTTTGTGATGGGCAGTTTTTCAGGTTATGAAAGTAAAAAAAAAGTAAGTTTTTCTATGCTTTGGGCACTGTGTTAGTGTAGACGGGTTGGCTCCACAGCTTG